CACAGCCTCCTCCCCTAGGGCATCAGGGAAGTCTCCCCCAGGGTGGGCTCAGAGGACCATTGGTTTCTGTGCAGATGAAGCTGCTATGCCCCCGGCAGAGCACCCCTGCTGGCACTGGGGGGACGCCCCTCCAGCGAGGCCTGTTTCCTAGTGGGCTGCACTTCAGGAGTCCCTAGCCTCCTGCTAGTTGCTGAGATAAAGTGGATTTTCCAGAAACAGAGGGAGCCCACTGGCGCACTTCGCTCCTGGGCCACTGCAGCCCCCTCCATCCCCTGTGTGCCCATGGGGAGCCAGGTGTGCAGAGGCTCCGGCCTGCTTCTCTTGCAGGTTCCCGTACTAGTCCAGAGAGCCCTCCCTGGGCATCTGTGGGAGAGCACAGGTCTCAGGCTTTCAACCTCTGCCCTGTGTGCTGCTCAGTGTGGGGGGTGTGGAAAGGAGGGGTGACTGCCCAAGCCCACCTGAGTGAAACGGCCTCTGGGAACCCCCTCAGGCATCACCCTCTCCTGCCCTTCATGCTTGCTGGGCCCCAGTCTGTCTCCCCAGTGATGCGGTTTTTCTCTGTGGGTGCTGAACTGTGGTTCTTTCCAGTTTTACCTCACAGACATTCTATTCTGCTCTGATTCTATTCTATTCCATTCCATTCCATTCTGCTTTCTTTCATCCAAGACTTCCTGTACTTTCTGGTGTTCTAGAAGTACTCATTGGCTCCTTTAGGTGGTAGCGGTGGTGATGGTGCTTTGTTTTCTGGTGCTGTTTGAGTGTTAGAATAACTTTTCCATCAGACCCACAGCACAGCAGAGCAAACAGGCCCATCTCACCAGGTGCTGCTGGTTGAACTTGAATGATCACCTGCACCATGGCATACTAGACTGGTAACCTCTATCAGTCTACTGGTATGAAAGGAGCAGAAATCCTCAGGCAAGTGTACTTGTCCCATGCCTCTGTGGGACTTGCCCTGAAAGACAAATGTCATCATTTCACCCCGCTCCCCCTCTGTTTGTACAATCTGCCATGTGTCCTGTATGAAAACCGAGTGGTGCTGGGGACTCCTCGTGCTAACTGGCAGTAGGAAGGACAGTAGGACATCAGCTCCCACTTCCCACGGCCCACAGAACAATAGCTGGTCCCTGCTACTGCCACCTTCGCCCTTGGGCAGACCCTGAAATCAGCATGGATTGTGTTCATTCATCCAATGCAGCCCTATCACACACCCACCCTGAGACTGCCTTCCTGCATTAGTGCTGTCTTTCCAGTGTATTCAATGACGTATGCATGTCAAGTCATGGTTCCCATTCTTCTGCTGCAGAAACAAAGCATTAGACCAATTGGGAAGCTAGAAAATTGCTTATTTAGATCTGCAGTCTCGTTTCTACTTCCAATCCGGAGCCCTTGGCACTACCAGATATTGCTTCTTTTGAGAGAGGAGCAGTTGAGCTTCTATACCTAAGCAAATAACATTGGCCAGAACAGCAGGACCACGTGCCATGGAAGAAGAGAGGCTGGCAAGCTGACCTAGGAGTGAGGATATATCTGACTGGACTTGAGGCAGAGACAGCCCAGGCAAGGAGAGGAGCAGCCAGATGTCCTGGAGGCAGGAGACGCAGAATGTGTGAGGAATGGAGAGATGCCCAGCCTGGCTGGAACACAGAATGTGGCTGTCCGGAAAAGAGTGGAAAGAGGGACCCTGGGCGAGGCTGCAGATATAGATCCAGATCTGGTCTTAAAGAGCTTTGTGTGGAGACAAGGAGGGCCTCTGGATAGACTGAGCTCGTGGTACTTGTGGGTTGTGGGTGTGTAGGAAAAGATGGCCAGAAAGCCATTGGGGCTCAGGAAGAAGGGCCATATGGAAAGAAAGCGTTAGGTCTCGTCATTATATAGATGGAAGTTGGGTTTTTCCCCTGAGGAGAGGAGAACAAAGCCTTGAGGCAGGGCATAAAGCAAGAGGTGGACAGAAGAGCAACAAACGGAAACACATGCCGAGAACTGTTTGGAAAAGCAGGCAGTGAGCTGGGAGGGCAGGCAGCGTGGGGGAGAGGAGAGCTTCGGGCAGCACCAAGTGGCGCAGGGCGGTGCGTCAACTGAGCATGTTTCACACGTAGCTTGAACGTTTTGAACGTTGCCATCTTGGCCTCATGCTGTGGCGCAGGTCCTGAGACTCACTGTAAAGGCTCCAAAGTCAGCCTGGAACCATGACATCACATGTTTAGTATATTGCATTGAGTGCCTGACAGTTCCTCCTCATGTTTTAAATACAGGATGAAATGTCATTATTTTTAAGACAGTGAGATTTGCAGATTCTACAGGTAGTGCTTTTTTAAAACCAAGACAGAGTTCATACTGATATTATATAAACACTCCTGAACTCACAGAAATCTGCTCACGAAGATCCTGTCTTTGGATCTGTCAAGATTTTAGAGCCAAATTCTAAGCCTTTCCTTTCCCCTTTGCTAAGCCTTTCTTTTCTTTTTCCCCTCCTTCTGTGACCGCCCGCCCAGGGGAGGTGAGAAGGAGACTTGGTGACTGTTTTCTCTTTGAGCCAAGCTGATGTCAAGTAGCAAGAACAGCAGGGCTGCTCCTTGTGCGAAAGAGCCGTAATCCTATTATGCCCACCTTGAGACGTACGTGTGAGAGGCCTAGGTGGATGGAGGTGATTCGGTTGACTTTTAAATCCCCAAGGGTCCCGATTTCAAAATCCTTGTGTCCGAGTCAAGAGGCAGATTAGGCCTCTTGCTAAGAAGGCCTGACCCCTTGGAGGCCCAGCGGTGCAGCCTTTCTTCCGAGTCTTTGTGGGTCCCACCCTGGCGGGGCTCCACCATGAACCACTGGACTGGTGTGCAGTTCCGGCCTCCAGTGGAGATCCTTAGCAGGAGGTGGCCTGGCGGGCGTCTCCCAGGTTGTCTTTGTGCAGTCAGGATTAGGAGATGTCTCCTCGCCTGTGTGAGAGGAGGGGTCCTATTCCTTTGCTCACGCCTCAGCCGCCCCTGTGAAAGCAAAGTGCACCGTTTCCTTCCTGCAGCCCTCCCAAGGGGCCTGCTGTCTCCCCACATGCTAATAGGGTTGCAAAGTCTTTAATCCAGTTAGCGCCCTTAGACTATTTCCAGCGCAGTTTCGACTCCTGGGAGCACTGACCTAGTCGTTGACTGTGTTTCAGATGCAATTTGCTAGGCAGATTAACATACTTTTTTGAAGGTTGGTTAACCTCTGCAAGACTTTGGGTTTTGAGTAACACTTTGCTGGAGTTTTTTTCACTTGCACAAATAGATAGATAGATGCCTTCACATGTACCACCTCCTTCAGCTCTAATGGTGTCTCTCAGGAAGGTGCTATCCTCCACGGTGGGGGGAGACTAAGACTCCGATGTCACCCAGGTGGTGAGCGGTGGTGCGAATTTGACCGCCAGTGTTCTGTTCACTATGCCAAGACTCCCTGAATTTATTTAACCTAAAACTACATTTTAAATTGTAATATAGGGGGCAGGTAATTGGTCTAGCAGTTAAGATGCTACTTGAGATGCCCATGTCCAAAATCAGAATGCCTAGATTCGAGTCCCAGCTCTGCTTCCAGTACTAGCTTCCTATTAACACAGGCCCTGGCAGGCAGCAGTGCCGGCTCAGGTAGTTGGGCCCCTGCACCCACCTGGGAGACCAGGATTGCATTCTTGACTCCTAGCTTTGGCCTGACTCAGTCAGTCCTGGCCAGTACAGGCATCTGGCAGTGAGCCAGCAGATAAGAGCGCTCTTTCTGTCTGCATGCTTTGTCTCTCTGTGTCTCTCTACCTCTCAAATAAAAATAACAGTAAAATGAGGTTTTTATAAAGGACACTTCCCTTTTAAAAGGTTATAATACTGAAATACCATTAGTAAGTCACTAAGATTTAAATGTCTAACATATAGTAGTATTGAATAATGCCATCAGTTGTTGCTATTTTAGGACAAAATGGTCAAAGAAGACTGGTCATGTACGAAGTGTGGTGTGTACCACAGCAGGTGGCTGGGAGTCCATACAGCTTCTCTGTACATGTACAGACTGCTTCTCAGCTAACTCCCTAGCATCCTCAGAATTAATAACCCATTTAGTCTTAAGTTTCAAAAACATATTAAGGCTCCTTATATTGCACAAAGCAGCAAAGTCCCAATTACTGGCCTATTAACAAAAGTAAACACTCTGTGACTTCAAAATAATTGCAGACACAAAAGACGGTTGGAATCACACAGCCTTCTTATGCCAAACGTGTCCATAACACCCCATTCCGCATTTCTGAAAAACATATTGCTGGATAGTAATCTTATAATAAGCTTTAAAATTAAAAAACCTCACATAAATAGTTTTATGGAGAGAGGTGGTGCAGGGAGCGAGTTTGGGAAATGTGGGTACAAACCTTCATCTTTCCCTTTCTTCCTAATCCAGGAGCCACTGTGTGCCTTCTCCTCCTCTTGCGCCCTCCCCTCCACAGAGCCACGTAAGGCACTGTGGAGACTGCAGACGTCCTGTGCGCTGAAAGAAGTGTGTTACGTAACCCAAAACAGTGGTGCCGACAGCATCGTTAGTCTGTGAGGCTAACAGATCACACGGGACCCCAAGGGTTTAGATCAGTGGTCAAGTTGGTTAAACCAGTGGTTTTTAAATGGTGTGAAAAGACAAGTTGTGTCATTATTGATCGAGGTGTAATGAGAAACAGCCTTTTAGGTGGGTCCTCTACAAAGTGAGAACTTAGGCAGCCAGCTGCCCTGTGGAGGGAGCGGCTCAGCCCCCTGAGGCTGGAAGGGGAGCGTCCTGTGCCCGCTGGGTTTCTTCTCCCATACCCTTCCACCAGGGAACACATTTGTTTCACAAATCCCTTCAGGAACGATGATGTCACAATCTCTCCCTCTGCCAGTATCCTTTTATGTGGAAGAAATCCCTGAACATGTCACTGACCCCTGAATTGATTTCCATATGTGAAACTTTTTGATTGCCTTTTTTTTTTTTCATTACATCCTCCTTACATTTTTTCTTTGTAGACCTGGCCAGAGGACTGTGGATGACCTAGAGATTATCTATGAAGAGCTCCTTCACATTAAAGCCTTATCCCACCTTTCCACCACGGTGAGTTGTCTCAGCTGGCCATGTTCAGGGCACTTTGAATTAAATGCACTCTTTTTTAAAAAAAATATTTATTTGAAAGTCAGAGTTGCACAGAGAGAGGAGAGGCAGAGAGAGAGAGAGAGAGAGAGAGAGGTCTTCCATCCAATGGCTCACTCCCCAGATGGCCGCAACGGCCGGAGCTGTGCTGATCTGAGGCCAGGAGCTTCTTCTGGGTCTCCCACATGGGTGCAGGAGCCCAAGGACTTCTGTCATCTTCTACTGCTTTCCCAGGCCATAGCAGAGAGCTGGATCAGAAGAGGAGCAGCTGGGCCATAGCAGAGAGCTGGATCAGAAGAGGAGCAGCTGGGTTTCAAACTGGTGCCCATATGGGATGCTGGCGCTTCAGGCCAGGGCATTAACCCACTGCACCATAACGCTGGCCTCTAAATGCACTCTTAGGACTGGAGAGGATACTGTGGTATGGAAGGCCGGAATGCTGAGATCCACCTCCTAAATCCTCACACTCTGTCTTCTGAGAGGCCACGGAAGTTACGCCCAGCAAGAGTCACCAGAAGGGACTCGGGCGTTATCTCATTATTAGCAGTTGCCTGTGTGCCTTAGCCCTCAAAGCCGTCTGATTTGAGTGGGGCTGGAACGTGTGCTCCTCCCGACAACCTGACCGTGGGGATCCGGGACTTGGGAGCAGCTCAGTAGCCCTCCTGTGACATATGGAGCCTGGAGGGAGATGGAGAGAACTCCAGATGTCCTGCCACGACCCTAGAGGACAGCTCCACACAGGTTTGCTGCCATATTGAGAAAGGAAGCAGATGTCACTTCCGATCGGTGAAGGCACCATAGCGTTTCTCACTATTAAGGGGGGGAAAAGAGTGTAATGGCTGCATCTGATGCCAGACTTTGCCCTGATTGCCTTTTGTAGCTTTGGCTTACAGATTGGGATGGCAATATGTGCTTGCATGGGCATGTGATCTCCTGGCAGCACAGGCTCGAGTGTGCTAGTAATTTGAGAAGGATGAGGAAGTATTTTGAATTTTCTTAGATGATATACTAAGGGCCCTAAGCTATCCCTACACAGAGCGATAGAGCTATCATTTGGGACTCTAATTTGGAATGTTAAAAACTTTTGGAATGGGCCGGCGCCGCGGCTCACCAGGCTAATCCTCCGCCTAGCGGCGCCGGCACACCGGGTTCTAGTCCCGGTCAGGGCGCCGGATTCTGTCCCGGTTGCCCCTCTTCCAGGCCAGCTCTCTGCTGTGGCCCGGGAGTGCAGTGGAGGATGGCCCAAGTGCTTGGGCCCTGCACCCCATGGGAGACCAGGAGAAGTACCTGGCTCCTGCCATCGGATCAGCGCGGTGCGCCAGCCGCAGCGTGCCGGCCGCGGCGGCCATTGGAGGGTGAACCAACGGCAAAGGAAGACCTTTCTCTCTGTCTCTCTCTTTCACTGTCCACTCTGCCTGTCGTGTCAAAAAAAAAAAAAAAAAAAAAAAAAAAAAAAAACAAAAAAAAAACTTTTGGAATGGTAGCTAGCTAGAAGTAATTTGGAATTTTGCTATTTGGAAATAACTTAGAATTGTCACTATCTCAGAGCAGAAACCAGTCATGTATTTAAGCTTTGTTATTCAACTTGACGACGATGAGGTTTGCAGCCCCTTACAGTGATGCCCTATGTGTGAAGCAGGGAAGGGCCACTAACAGCAAGAACGTGCTGGGATTCTATAGATGTCTCTGCTTCCTGTCCAGGAAAAGACAGGCAGACAAATGGGCTGGTGCACGTGCGACCGTGTTTGACACTGTCTGTAAGGAGGTTGTCTGGTATATGAATTAAGTTAAGTTATTCTCCTATGAAAGCAGCTTGTGGACACGTTTTAAGACTGGCAGGGGAACCAGCATTTAGTCCAGCAGTTAAGAGGCCCATGTGCCACATCGAAGGGCCTGGGTTTGGTTCCTGGCTCCAACTCCTATGCCAGCGTCTGGCCCATGCGCACCCTGGGGGGCAGCCACAATGGTTTGAGTGGCTGGGTTTCTGCCACCCTTATGGGGACCAGGATTGATTTCCCAGTTTCTGCCTCTCGTCCCAGCCAGCCCCGGCCTTTACAGGTACTTGTGGAGTGAACCAGTAGACAGTAGCTCTCCCACTCTCTCCCTCTCTGTCTCTCAGATTAATAAAGAGAATTTTAAAAAGCAAAGAACTGAGTAGCAAGTCTTGTAGAAGTGGTTCCAACTGACAGTAGCGGCCAGCAAGGGAGAGACGGCCGTGGCAAGCAAGGGGATGGTCAGCCCGAGTCCCCCTTCCCCAGTCTCCTCAAGTCTGACCGTCTTGCTGCCTTCTCTTTGTCTTTTAGGTGAAACGGGAGTTAGCGGGTGTTCTCATCTTTGAGTCTCACGCCAAAGGAGGGACCGTGTGTAAGTGAAATCCGCAAGGGAGCACGGTGCTGGTCGCCTCCCTCGCAAGCATGTGCAGCGGGAGCCTGGGGGTCAGTGCCCCCGCCTGGGGCCCAGCCTGGGCTGCAGGCCATCACGTGGCCCCTTGCTCTTTCTGGCCCTGTGGTTATCTGCCACATCAGGCTGTTCCCGTGAAGAGTGATGGTTTTCCAGTCCCAGCTCGGGCTGTGGTTGCCAGCTTGAGCCTCACTCGCCCCGGTGCCTGGGGGCTCACAGCGGTGTCTAAAGAGGTTGGGACGAAGCCTTTGCTCTTCCACGTGGGCCCTGGGCGGTGCCTTTCACCGTGACCTCGCCTCAGTCTGCGGCTTTGGAAGAACTAAGCTCTCTCATGAGAGGACTGCTCAAGCGATCCTGCATTCTTCTCTCGCTTCTGCTGTGGGCTCCAGGCCTGAGAGACTGCCTTTGTCCCCAATACATGCAGTACTAGTATCTGCAGAACTCAAGTCCTGACAGTTCTGTGGTCCTATTTGGAAGGGAAGAATTGAAATTGGGTTTGAAAGCCATAGGCAGTGTTAGTTAAGGTCACATTTCCCACCAGTCTACAAAATCCTCCTTACAAGGCCAGTGATCTATGACGGTCGGGCAGCAGCCCTTTCTCTAACCTGTGCTACAGAATCACGGGAGATGCTAAGGCTCTCGCAGGTTCCGCAGGTTCCGCAGTAAAGAGGAAGGGTCACTGTGTCTAAGCTGGCGCTCTCCAAACCCAGTGAAACAGAGAACACTTTTTTAACGGGACTTCTGGTAGCTTTGGAAAAGGTTGAGTTGGGTTAGTCAAATGAGCATGAATTTGCAAATGTTTTTAAAATCGCATTTCAAGTTGTTTTACCTTCAGTCCCCAAACATGACGTTACTGACCTTGGTATGTATTTCAGTAAGAATGTCATTTCTCCGTCACTTAAGGTTCCCTGTAACATGTTTTATTTGTTGTGGTCACTGATAGCTTACATGTCTTTTCATTCAGAGTTACTGATTGTTTTCATTTTATTATGAAACCATAAGTGTTTCAAACAAAAATAGAGAACATTGAAAAAAGCTTCAAAACCCGTACCAAGCAGCACATCATGCCTCATTTCTTCCCGTTTGCTAAAGACATCACACTGCCCCCTGTTGCTGCCTTCATCCATTCTCCTTCCCCACTACAGACTAACTCCGACCTTACATGCAGTGATTATCGTTCCAACCTATTTTTTATAAACCTGTAGGTATATACCTGTAAACAATGTATAATGCTGATTTGCATGTTTTCAAACTTACTGGTCAGCTTACTCTTAAAAACAATTTTCTATGGCATAATGTTTTGATAAATTGTGGGGGAAATGTGTGTTGCTTTAAGAAATGGACGGCTCATAAATTGATACCCGGTGAAAGCTGTCTTTTAGGGCCTGGCGAGGAATGCAGTGTTTCTCTTCCTTTCATGTTCTATAGAAAAGGAAATAACATTCCACCTGAATAAGTTAGGATTTGCCAGTAATTTTTTTTATTTCACATATGCATAATTCTGGGGAGTTAGAACTGATGATTTGATAAGCTGTAATTTATATTGATGTGCTTCTATTCTTGTCATATGTCTTTTCATCTTTCTGTGTCTAGTGTTTAACCAGGGGGAAGAAGGAACCTCCTGGTACATTATTCTAAAAGGATCTGTGAATGTAGTCATTTATGGCAAGGTATATATACGTATATATTTTTTCTTTTTAAATCTCCCTTTTGCTCCCTTTAGCATCTAGCTCTAAGCTTTAGCAGTGTCCTGTTACAGTAAAACCTGCAACAACATTGTTGCTGAATGGAGAAAAGGCATCATTGCATCTTTAAGTATATATTAGCTCAATTATTATACCCAGAGTAACATTGTACTTACTGGGGCTCCTCTCCTTATGGGTTATAATGTATGCAGGGACTTCAAAAAGTTCATGAAAATGAAATGAAAAAGTAAGTGCAAAAAATTGAAATCCATGCCTAGTTTTTCTTTCTTTTTTTTTTTTTTTTAAGATTTTATTTATTTATTTGAAAGGCAGAGTTACAGAGAGGGGGAAGAGAGAGATCTTCCATCTACCAGTTGACTCCCCAAATGCCACAATGAATAGAGCTAGGCTGATCCAAAGCCAGGAGCCAGGAGGCAGGAGCTTCTTCCTGATCTGCCACATGGGTGCAGGGGCACAACACTTGGGCCATCTTCTGCTGCTTTCCCAGGTGCATTAGCAGGGAGCTGGATTGGAAGAGGAGCAGCTGGGACTCGAACTGGCACCCATATGGAATGCTGGCACTGCAGGCAGTGGTTTAGCCTACTATGCCACAGCACCAACCCCCTAATGTTTCATAATATACACTTTCATGAACTTTTTAAAGACCCCTTGTGTGCATGGATTTTGAGAAAATGCACTGAAACAAACATCTTTCCATTTCATTAAACATTTTGAAGTATCCTTGTATACGTAGACCATATCCCTCAGTGGAAGAGGAATGAACTGTGGTGATGTAATTCCACACTTGCCCTGTAGCAGCCCAGGTCCCACCTGCTCGTGCGCGCAGTGTTTTGGAGGAAGGGTATCGCGGGGAGCAAGTGGCTATGTGCGCCATCCCAGGGGTCATCCTTGTTTCAATGCTCTGCTCTCTCCAGGGTGTGGTGTGCACCCTGCACGAGGGAGACGACTTTGGCAAGCTAGCACTAGTGAACGATGCACCGCGAGCTGCCTCCATTGTCTTGCGGGAAGATAACTGTCATTTTTTAAGAGTGGACAAGGAAGATTTCAACCGGATCCTGAGGGTGAGTCCAAAGCTAAGTGGTCCTTTTGCAAAAAAAAAAGCAGAATTGTGATGTCATATTGCTTGAGCATTCCTGCGCTGAATGAATGCTCTAGAATGAAGGGCTTTTGTAACAACACTGGAGCGTTCAATGTGCCGGTGTGCATGCTGGTTGCAGAGGTCGTCCTCCAGGAAAGCTGCAGGTGCAGGATGCCATGCGGGACCCAGTACCTCTGCACACACCTGCACCTGCACGTGGCCGTGAGAGCTGAAAGGATTGCCTTGGCAATTGCTGACGTCTAAGAAGCTTCTCTCTGACATTCTACATGCCCCTTTCTGTGTCCTGCACCACTGGGTGGGAGAATGGGGTGCAGGACACAGAAAGGGGCATGTAGACATTCTCCCACCCAGTGGCGACCCCCTTTGCCCCGTGCCTTTCTCTATCCCACACTTTCCCAGTCTCCAACTCCCATCCCTTCCCAAACCTGAACCTTTCTCATTTCGTCACACATTTTCCTGATGTGTGGAGCAACTGTATGTCAGTGGAAATGACCGTCAGTCATGGTTATTGCAACCAAGCATTTTCATTTTCAGTGCTGTGTCTCCCAGTGCAATGGCAAGTAGATGAAGAATAACTGGGGGATGGAAGGGGCCATGAAATTGCCCCTGAAGGTGGCTTTGGAGGCAGTGCATGTGAAATGCAGGGGTGTTGACCGGGAGCGGTCCCAGCTCTCTGCCCACCGTGCAGTCCCTGCTCCCCTGGGACAGATGCCCCAGCTTTGGCTGGTGGAGAGCTGCTTGTGGGTGGCTGGGGATGGTGACAGTGTCCCATCACCCCGGCCTCTCAGAGCAGCTTTCCTCTCCCCCTCACCCCTCCCTTCTCCTCTTATGCATGGACATGTGTCCCTAGGAGGTGTGAAGCATAGGAATCTATTATCTTAAACACACACAAAAAAAGTTAAATTAAATCTATTGTCTTTTTTTTTTTTTTTTTTTTTTTTTTTGACAGGCAGAGTAGACAGTGAGAGAGAGAGACAGAAAGGTCTTCCTTTGCCGTTGGTTCACCCTCCAAAGGCCGTAGCGGCCGGCGCGCCGCGGCCGGCACAACGCGCCAATCCAAAGGCAGGAGCCAGGTGCTTCTCCTGGTCTCCCATGCAGGTGCAGGGCCCAAGCACTTGGGCCATCCTCCACTGCACTCCCTGGCCACAGCAGAGAACTGGCCTGGAAGAGGGGCAACCGGGACTAGAACCCGGTGTGCTGGCGCCACAAGGCGGAGGACTAGCCTAGTGAGCCGCGGCGCCTGCCAAATCTATTGTCTTAAACACAAAGAAAATAAATTAAAATGTATGCCATGGAATAACATAGAAAAAAAAATACCACATAGAACTTTACTTGGTTCGTATCTCATTGAAAAATGGCGACCAAATATTGAGGGAAAGTGTAGTAAATTTTTTTTAGTACTTTAAATGATACTGAAATTTACAGGTGAACTTTACTTTTTGAAGTTTACTGACATGAAGTTCATACTCAGCCAAAAAATCCTTTGAAAGAATCAAATTAGGGCCACTATCATTACTGTAACTTATAAAGCCATTCAGAATAACTGGCAAAGGGTTTTTAACACCTTTCACTCTGATTTTTTTAAAAAAAGCATCTTTTGATTAGAGACAAAGGTGCTACCCCTAGGGAAATTACATACACAGGGAAGGAAACAGGGCTTTGCTAAAGCCCAATGCTGTTTGCCGCGCATTTTTTCTTTAAGAACAAATGACTGTGCCCCCACCGTCTCCCTGCCAGGCCACCCCTCCCAAGGCTTCTCAGAGCTCAGCCACAGGACTCTCTACTCCGCTGTTTGAATCTGGGGTAGAAGCAGAGTTCCTGAAATACTTGCCTCCAGTCTCATCTGGTCCTCTCCGTGACCGTTCCAGCCCTTGACTTTGAAAATGACTTAATTTGTAGACGCAACAATTAGCATCACAAGCACCAAATGAGTTTCTGAAGCACTTGGAATTTTTGCCATTGTCTGCGTAAACGGCCGCATCTGCATGTGGTGTCATTTGTATTTGCAGGACGTGGAGGCGAACACAGTCAGACTTAAAGAACATGACCAAGATGTCTTGGTACTGGAGAAGGTCCCAGCGGGGAACAGAGCTTCCAATCAAGGAAACTCACAGCCTCAGCAGAAGTATGTTTGCCTCCAACACTGTAATTGCCAGACTGTGATTAACCTTTTCACTTAGTATCATCATTTCCACAATAGCGTGTTCTCCTTTTTTGTGGAAGGCGGCCGTGTGTGTGCTTTTCCCCTCTATTGACTAATCACACATCTTGTGGAGGATAATGTATCCATTTCTGGCACCGCATTGAGCCTGGTGCTGCCTGGGAGTCGTTCTGCAGAGAATATTCCCCTGCTGTCATACCCTCTCCCTGTACAGTCTTCAACTGTAATAGCTTTGCAAAGGAAGGCATGGGAGACAACAATGGAAGCAGGAACACGGGGCAGCTCCAGGGACACATGGCCCCTAGGTGAGGAGAAACCGCGCCATTTCAATGTCCTAAGTGTTTTCATCTTGTTATCAGAAGGAGCGTCTTGGGTGGCAACCCGGATTTCAAATATAAAACAGTCTGTAGACTGCAGCCCAGAGCCTTCCTTTTAGTGTCATTCCTCCTGATTCCTCCGTGTAAAAGCAGCCTCCGGACACATTGCACAGGTCTCCTGTTTAACCAACCTCTTTCAGAATATCTGTGTTCGCTTCCAGCGTTTGATTCAAGTTCCTACAGAAGACTCTTTCCTCCCAAGTACCTACATTTGAGTGGGAAGACAGAAGAATTGGGGAATGTGACTTTAAGAAATCATAATAAATTCCAGAATTGAGTTTTTTAATAGGAATTAATTTTAAATGTTAGGTTAATAAAAACACTCATTCTGTAGCTAAAGAAATGTCACCAAATAATAAGTTGAAAGAGAAGGCATCTCAAGTAATTTTCCTTTGTTTGCCAAATAACTGGCAAACTGATGAGTTTTTATTGTCTAAACTAAAAGCCTAAGGCTCAGACATTTTCCTCCAGACGAATCAACAGATTTGCAAAGGAGGCAGGAAGAAACACATTGTCATCACTGACACTCCACTGTATAGTGTGCAGATTGTATCTGGTCCTTATTGTGACCCGTTTTGAAAGGTGGAGAAATGCGGGCCCAGGGTTTCAAAGCTTGTGCTGGAACAGCTTGGAGTCAGGTCAGGTTTGACCAGCTTTCCTGCCTCAGTTCCCTCTGTCTCCACACTTTCGGCAGCAAAACACCTTACAGTTGAGCCCCCACATCCACAGGTTGTACATTCACACACTCAACCATCCATTGATGAAAAACATTCAGGAAAAAATCGCATCTGTACTGAGCATGCAGAGACCTTTGCCTTGTCATCATTTCCTAAAGGATACAGTGTGACCACCGTTTACATAGCACTTACATTCTATTTAGTACTGTAAGTAATCTAGAGATACTTTCAAGTATATGGGTGGATTGCAGAGATGATAAGCACATTTCATGCCATTTTATGGAAGGCGTAGTCATCCCTGGTTTTGCTATCCACAGGAATCCCTGGAGCCAGTCTCCCACAGTGCTGAGGGACAAGTTTGTATGGAAATACTAAATCCTCCACACTCTCTGACAGGGTCTTCAAAAAGTTCACGGAAAGTGTGTATTATGAAGAAACTAGGCATGAATTCCAATTTTTTTGTGCCTAATAAATTTATTTTAATTCTACTTGTCCATGAATTTAGTGAAGTACCCTGTATGGAAAATATTGCAAAATCGATATATTTCAAAAGAGCTTCCATAAGAAGCACTAAAGAAAGCCCTGTCATACATTTGCAAAGTGATAGCATTCCCATTCTCTGTCTTTATTCTTTCATTAGCTTTTACTACTATCCGTTCTAGAACACACTCTTGCCAAGATGTTTGAACAGTAGTCCTCCCGGTGCCCTGAAGAGGGTGTTTCCTGGTCCTGAACAGCACCTGAGTAGTGGTTAATCTGCATTCTTTAAGGAGGCCTCCAATAGCTCAGAGAAATCAGGCCAACCAGAAAGGTGAGCCTTGAGGATCCCCCTTAGCTTTGAAACTTCCGATCAAGAGGCCCCCTGGGCATCCCCCTGCCTGCCCTCTTCCAGTCACTGGGCGGGATCAAAAGAACCTGCTTGCTTCAATGACTTCCATTCAGGGTGTCCTCCAAATAGATTTCTTATGAAATCAAACCACAGGGACTGGAAAAGGAGAGACCACGTGCATTAAGTTTATTTTAGGCCTGTGTCTAATTTTCCTTTCTATCTCTTTGCACCCTGTAATTCAGTCCAGACTTCGTACAGAATTCAAAACCTCATGCATGCTCACAGTAAACTATTTAAGACGAATCAGTGGGCAAAGCCTCGCAGCCCGCCAAATTCCTCCTCTCAAGAATGAAAAGCTGTTCTCTCGCAGGGTCATTGAGCATGTTGAGTTTTCCTGGGTCGGAGCAGATGGAAGAGAGGCTCCATGTAAATGCTGTTCTGGACACTTCGACACCATGGCGACCACCGTCCACTGTGTCTGGCGATGCCTTGGGCCTCTCCCCACTCACAATGTGCTTTGTGAGCTCAAAGAAGGTCTCCGTGTTGGTGCTGATTTTAATGTTACTTCTCTGACTCAGTTTTGAGTCTAGAATGGTTTACGCACTTACATTTTCAACTTGTGAAACTGCCTCACTCTGCCCAAGCCACTCAACTCTGAGTGTGATATTAACAAGTCAATAACAAGAGAGCATTTCTGGTGATGGGTATAGGTGAGATAGAGCCCTTAACCATTTAGCACAGAGTTTCAGCTCTATGGCTATGGGGGTTAAGTGTGGAGGGAAGGAAGGAAGGAGAGAGGAAGGTAGGAAGGAAGGAAGGAAGGAAGGATTTTAAATGACTATTTTAGTTACCATGCTCTGTTTTCCTCAGACTGTTTTCTTGTTCGGCTCTATCCTGTTTGCAAGAAGATGCTGTCTTTCAACTCCTCCTCCCGTGGCCATTTTCTGTTGTAGGTGCAGGTGGAAATGTCTTCATTTGCAGACTTGGTGTTGGGAGATGTTCAGACACAGGCTTGAAACCTCACAGCCGATAGAATGTCACCAACTGTGGCTTATTTTTGTATGTGCTTCATGCAATACACTGAAAACAGCCATGCTGTCTGATCTTCAAGCGACCTTGACCTCATTTATACGGAAGGAAGGCAGTAGGCACCTGGCCATGTCCAGTGTGAAACAAAGCTATAACATGAGCCCCACATCTCAAGGGGCTGTGTCTGGCCAAAGGCCGGTTGCCCTAAGAGGATATTCACGCCTAACAGCCTCCTGCAGAACCCGGATGGGAAGCTGGGGTGAGCAGACAACACAGATGACCACTAGAGGGAGGCATACGTAACAAAAGAAGAATCGTGGGGTCTCCTGTTGGCCGGGTGAGAGAGGCCACTTTCTGTCCAGAGAGTTGATGGGCCATCTGGCTTGCCACCCAAGTCTTGCTTCTTTTTGAACAGACATAGTGCTATAGCTAAGGGATTTCCAAAGGAAGAACACTGGAGTGTGACGCCAACCTTGGATCAGAATTGGCAAGGGAACAATTTTTAAACTGAGCTATCAGCTATGCAGCTAGCTAGCAAGCAACAGATGCTGAGAGGTGATGGGCAGGCCCAGCCCAGATTTTCCATTGAGTTTTTGTGCTATGCATTTATATACTCTTATTTAAATAACACTTGTTTTCAAAAACAAACCTCTCTTTAGATGACAGTTTTTAATGACATGGAGAATTTCCTGCTCAGAATGAGCACCAGGGGGCGGGCACTGGCTCAGAGGTCAGGACACTACTCCAACATCCCATACAGGAGTCCCGCCCCTTCACTTCTGATCCAGCTTCTGGCTGATGTGCAGCCTGAGAGGCAGCAGCTGATGGATCAAGTGCTTAGGTCTCTGCCATCCACATAGAAGACCTAGGTTGAGTTCCTAGCTCCTGGCTTCAGCTTGGCCCAGCCATGGCTGTTGCAGGCATTTGGAGAGTGAACCAGTAGATGGAGAAGCGCTCTCTCTCTCTCTCTCTGTCTCGCTCGCTCTCTCTCTCTCTCTGCTTTCGAATAATGAAAATAAATACATGATAGGAAGAATGAGCTCCAGGCACTAGATCCGGTCTCCATCTGGACAGGTTGCTGCAAGGGTAGACAAGACAAGTGCCATGAAACATACACGTGTTATCTGAAGCCAGACAGACCTGGTTTGCATTAGGGATCGCCCATTTACTAACCCTTTGACCTTGGACATGGTGCCTCCCTTTGCTGAGCAGTTTCTGCATCTGAGAGCACAGGTAGTGTTTCCTCAGCTGGGTCCACGTGACAGCCGTCTGGGGCAGAGCGATGCTGAACTGTGAAATGTCCTCTCCCACCCTATCCCTGAGTGGGGCCAGATGCTACTGCAGGGAGTTCTCTCAAAGAAGTGTGTGTTTCCAGAATTCCTGAATGGGCGGAGCAGTAGTTTCCACGGAAGTGTCAACAGTCACTCCTACAAATGCCCTCTCCTTGTTTCAAGTACTGATCGACTGCTGGAAGAAGTAACCATCTTCCACCTTCTTGGTTTTGACAAAGGGGACACAGTTCTGTGATTAAAGTGGACTGTTTGATCTGTCTCCTTGCCCACACTGGGTTCTAAAGCCTGGTTGCCTGGTTTCCTTAAGGATCTCACTCTGTGGCTTCCTCTGGGTCAGCGTGTGCCCTCACATTCCAGTCTTAGCTACCAGCTGCCTGCTAGCTGCGTTGCATTTGTTCCCCTCTTCAGCCCCGAGGCCGCTTTGTTCACCTGTCTCCGTCTTCAGGTACACAGTGTTATAGGTTAACATCAATGTCTCACTTCCATCTCTCAGGCAGGAGGTTGAGATCCTGAGAGTTGATATGGTAAAGGTATTCCTGGGCGTTCACCCTCTCCAGCAAGATCCCAAACAGGGGATCCCAAGCCAGTGGAGTCCTCCTGGAGCTGAATTCTTCCTGGGCAGCAGGCATTCGCTTTCATTGCCATGTTCCCTCCCTGTGGTTTTGCTTTAAGTGAACCGCCAGGCAGAAAGGCAGAGTCTGAGCGTCGGGAAGGGAACGGCACCCAGCTCATTGTCACGTGTTTTACCCGCAGCTTTCATTCACGGTCCTGTCTCCATCTTGAACGTGACTTTGAAACAACCCTACATCCTGTTTAAAAAAATAAGCCTTCCCATTTTGATTGAAGAGCACTCTGGCTGGATCTTCTCAAATAATGGCTAATCCGCCCCCTCCCCACATAACTTTTATTTGACAGTAGAATAAGTTATGTGGATTTTCTACTCCTGATTCATTTCCTGTTCATGGTGCCACTGGGGTTGGTTTGTTTCTCACTGGTGTTTGGGGTTTTGTTTTCTCTTGTTTTATTAGTAGCTGCATTTCCAAAGAACATGCCAGTGTACAGTTGGGAAAAACAGAGCATTCCAGAAATAGGCAGGCGAATCCAGTGTGGGACTGCAGTTTTACCATGAGGAACCCGTATATGGGTAACCTGGTTTCCTGTCCTTCCCCCTCGTGGGCTCTCCCTGCCTGACCAGAGCTGTCCCAGGAGTTCCATGTTCCCTTTCGTGCCCCTGTGGAGCAAAGCCGAAACCTCTGTTTCCAGCCAGCTGCATCTGCTGTCCCAGAAGATTACTCTTGCTCCTTGTAGGGACACGAGAACAGTGTGTTTAGTGCCTACTTCCATTTATGTGTTTGCTGTTATCTTGTGTGACTTTGACTAAGTACATGGTCTCTCCTACCCTGAAGAGTGTATTGGCCACAAGTCAATCAGTGTGATTCCCTGAGATCACAAAAAGAAAGAAGAAAGAAAAATTTAGATAAGTTAAAAAAAAGTTTTCGTTAATGATTTCCCCACTTTTGAAAAACTAATGATATTTTCATTTCTTATCTAGGTATACTGTGATGTCAGGAACACCTGAAAAAATTTTAGAGCATTTTCTAGAAACAATCCGCCTCGAGCCAGCTTTAAACGAAGCAGCAGGTACATACGTGGAACAATTTTGTGTGTTTATTAAATTCATGCCTGGGAGGTGGTTGTCTGGCTTAGTGGGTGAGATGCCTGCATTTCACATCAAAGCTCCTAACTCCAGCTTCCTTGCTACCTCAGACCCAGGGATGGCTCAGGTAACTGAGTTCCTGGCTGACAGCTCTGGCCCCAGGCCAGACTCAGCTGGGCATTTGGGAGGTAAAGCAACAAATGGGAACTCGCTGTCTGTCTGTCTGCCTCTCTAGAGAATGAATGGATAAACAAATCAAGTAAGCAAGCAAGCATAGTGTTACCTACATACATACTTGAATTCATTCTTGGTGTATGCTGCCCAAGCTCTCTCCGGTCCCAGCTCTCCGCTGTAGATGACTTTGACTCCTTCATAAGGATGAGGAGTGGCCTCTACAGGCATCTCTGTAGTTATTATTCAGATCCCATCTTCCGGTGCTGGCGCTGTGAGGTAGTGGATTAAGCCACTGTCTACAGTGCTAGCATTCCATATGGGCGCCGGATTGAGTCCTGGCTGCTCCTCTTCCAATCAGCTCCCTGTTAATGGCCTGGGAAAGCAGTGGAAGATGGCCCAAGTCCCATAGGAGACCCAGAGAAGCTCCTGGCTCCTGGCTTCAGTCTGGCCCAGCCCTGGCCGTGGCAGCCATTTGGGGAGTGAACCAGCAGATGGAAGACCTCTCTCTCTCTCTCTCTCTCTGCCTCTGCCTCTCTGCCTCTGCCTCTGCCTCTGCCTCTGCCTCTCCCTCTTCCTGTAACTCTGCCTTTCAAATAAATAAAAAAATCTTAAAAAAAAGCCTTCCATAGCCATTTGACTCCCCTCTGTGTGAAGCAGCCTTCATAAGAGGTCTAGCCTTGTTCCAATTGGGAATAAAATGGCTCTCTCTGTGGTTGTAAGGTATTGAGCTGCCCCAGAATGTAGCTAGGGTTGCTATAACAAAGCACATAAACCTGTGGTCCCAACAACAGAATCTTATTGTCTCCTGGTTCTAGAGCTAGATGTCTGAGAGGAGAGTGGTAGCAGGGTTGATTCCTTCCGAGAGCTTTGGTGGGGAATCTGCTGTGTGCCGGTCTCCTAGTGTCTGCTTGTGTGCTGGCCACCTTTGGCATCAATGCATCACCCCCACCTCTGCTTCCGTGTTCACATGGCATCCCCCCGTGCCTCTTCCCTTTGCAGATCTGTCTCTGCATCCACGTTTTCCCTTGTGATAGGCCAACAGACATAACAGATTAGGACCCATACAAATCCCCTCACCTTAACTTGATCACATCTACAAAGAGCCTATTTCCAAGTAAGGTCACATTAGGAGTACTGAGGGTTATGACTACTTCAACATAAATTTGGGGAAGGATAAATTTTAACACATTGGGGCAGGCATTTAACTTAGCAATAAGACACTTGAGTCCCACATTGGACTATCTGGGTTCGATTCCCTGCTCCTGACTCTGGCTTTCTGCCAGTGTAGACCCTGGAGGCAGCAGTGGTGGCTCAAATAATTGGGTCCTTGAATTCCTGGCTCTTTGCACTGGCCTGGCCCAGTCCCAGCCATTGTGGGCATTTGAGGAATAAACCAGCAGATAGGGGGCGTGCTTTCTCATCTCTCCCTCCCCTTTCCTGTTTCCATTTCTTCCTCCCTTTCAAATAAATAAATAAGTTTAACAAATCCAGCACATAGCTCTCCTTAGAGTGAGCTGAGCATTCAGGACCATGACCTCATTTGCATGTTGGGATCCATGTTGTACATGACCTTGGGACAGCCCCCGTTCCACTTTCTGTTTTTTTCTATGCTACTAGCCTGTCTCTTAGAATGATGTCATGGATTAATATTTTAAGCACATCATGCTCCATAGAAGAGCTTTTCTCACTAAAAGAAGTTGAGAGATTTATCTCAAGAACTTGGTGGTGGATGAAAATCAATTTCTGTAATTGATCTTTGCCTTATGGTCAAGGTGAAGTTATCATCATCATTATTATTATATACCTCCTAAATGTATTTTTACCACCGACTTATTGTTTCTTCTCCTTATCCAATTTTGTGAGGTTTTCCTTTCTTTATTTTTTTTTTTAATTCTGGGGAGTGGTAGACACAAAAGCTCGGATCCCCAGCTCCAGGCTTGATTTTCAGCTCAGTGTTTATCCAGCACCTTGTCAGGCAGGAGCTACGCTGAGTGTTTTGAACTAGGCAGAGTGGACAACGGAGCCCCTTCCTGCCCTCAGGGAGCTTTTAGTTAGCTAGAGACTCACAGGAATGTGCAAGTATCTTGAACACAGGCAAAATGTGGTCAGAGCTTCAGGGCCACTGACCAGTTGAGGGGACTTAGAGAAGTGTCATGGGGATGACAGCCTCTGAAGTGGCCCTGGGGAAGGCTGGTGACCAATCAGCAGCAGTGGTACAAAGCCTTCCATCCTGAGGGGCATCAGTAGTGACACAGAAACAGGCAAGGGAGAATGAGCAGCCTGGTTTCTATAGATCTGTCACGTACACAGGAAGGAGGAAGATAAGGGGTAAGATTTTGAGGTACAGATCTTGGAGGGTTTTAAATGCAAAGCTAAGTGTTGGGGAGTGGTCAGAGATGGCTGGACAAGGAGAATCTGATGGGAGCCTTGCTGAAAAAAGATGACTGTGTGTTGAGAGTGAAGAAACCCTGAGGGACCAGTTAGGAGGGAACTGCTTCCAAGAGGCAGACATAACCTCAAATAAACCAGAGGTCCGGGGTCATAGTTCAGGAAAAACACAGCTGCCTGGGATGTGTGACTGCTCAAAGCAAGCAGCAGAGTCTCCCCTGCAGTACACACTGGCTCAAAGGCAGGTGCTGGTACCTGAGTGAGGGCGGCATCTTACAGGTCTTTCCTGCCCATGGAGAGCAAATATGGACTTCCTTTCAAAGTCACGTCTAGGAAAAATGGAGATTGAATTATTGTTTCTTAAAAAAGTGGATACTGGATACCAGAATATTCTACAGCTGCGATTTGACTTGTGTTCCCTCTATTTTTTATCTTAGTGACTAGACTGACATCATCACTGAACAGTGACCTTCATGCCCTGCTTTGATGATTTTTTTAATTACAAGTAATATTCATGGTTTGGGGATAAATAAATGAGAGTCTTTCTCATAAATCCAAGATACAATTTCCCCCCATTATTATCCTGAATATTAAAAATAACCCTAGAACCGGTACATGCAGCATGTAGGTATGGTGAAGTAGGAGTTCCATGATGTTGATGGATTTACCATGCAATGAGAAATGCCAGAGTTACAGTGAACCTTGTTCACATCACAGAAACCAACATCAATGACTATGACAGTGCATGCTCTTAATTTACCAGAACATCAATTTTTGACCTAAGACCCATTAGTTCCCTAGACTTTTGACCTCTGTGGCCAGCATTGGTCACCGAGTGACTTGGGAAATCATTTTCTAGCAGGAAATGATGGTTTTAAAATCAGCTCTCAAGTATCAGAAAGCCACGTTGAAATGTGAGTTTGGGTGGTTGGCTGTGCAGGAGGACCAGCTCCCCAGCCGTGGAGCAGCCATGCCAAGTCTCTGCGTTCCCCAAATTCCAACGACTGTTTAGCCCAGGTCTTCTGGCTGGCGTGTAAGCAGCCCCCGCCTCTCCTATCCTCAAGGAGTGCATTAACTATGCCGCAGGACCTCTAGACGTTAAACTCAGATGAGCCACAGGTCTTCTTTGCTTAACACGAAAAGTTCCACACAGCTTCTGTCTGGCACCTTCTCTGCTTCTTCTCTGGCCCAGTGTAACAGGACTGGCGTGATGGGTGACACTGAGTAATGACCGCCTGGGATCGCAACATATGCAAGTGGGCATCGTGGTTAACCTGTAGTCACTGATTCATACTTTGCCAATGCAAGGTCATTAATAACACAGACATCGGAAATCTAACTTACAAATTTGTGTATTTCTCATCCCTTCCTGTTTTGAACAGTGATGTGAGCCTCCTAAGTCTCAACCAGGGTGGTCCATTTTATGATTGAACCTCCCCATGGCACCCTGAGTTCCAGGTGTCATAGGCATGCTCTGAACTCCTAGACTTGTCCCCAAGGGTGCTGCCACCCAGGCCGGCTGGGTCGTGTTGCCTTTGCAGTAAGGACCCTTGCTGCCAAGTTGGGACATTCACCGTTTTCTCCCACTGCAGAGCTGCAGTTGTTGGTCCAGGCTCAGACTTCATTGCATCCTTTTCTGTTGCTCCCCCCACCCCGTCGCCTGTTCTCTGCTTTGAGCACCTCTTCTTCCGCCATTCTTTCTACCACCTTTTCCTATCTCATTGCTCTTTCTGGAAATCAGTCTGAAAAGAGATAAAGGGAAACAGCTACTGAGAGAATAAATACGGCATAAAATAGAGAAATGACCGTGTCGTGTCTTCATTCTGCATATATGGTACTGCCCATGAGTGACTCTTTATTTATATTTATATTAAGGGCATTCTTTGTCACTAGGGTGACTAATGCCATTTAGCAAGGGTATCTCTGTAAAATATTATGCTTTTGGCTCATTGTCCTAAAAAACTTAGTTTTCATCTCAAACTCAGTCCATATCATTAATTTTCTACCAAGTGCTTCTACCAAATGTACAGTAAAATCGTAACTCCAAACCAATGTATAAGAACTAATGGCCAAGAATAAATGAGTAGGTGCTCTGGCTTTCCCAGATTGCCACAATATCCTAATTTCCTCTTCCACTTTTCTCTCCTTCCAGATTCGGTTTTAAGCGACTTCGTTCTGATGCACTGTGTTTTTATGCCAAATACCCAGCTTTGCCCTGCCCTAGTGGCCCAATATCCTTTTGCTGTTGGTAAGTCTCTGTTTCTCTGGAGACAGCCGACAGGTGCACGGCCTCCTCTGAAGGTAAGTCCCGGCCCAGGCAGGGCTGGGCTCTCTGCTCTCCTAAAATTCTAAGAAGCCAGCAGTCTCTCGCTCTGTCCACCATGCGTGTATGTGGATTTCCTAGACATCACGTGTGTGGAGAAGCGTGAGCCACGTCACCTCAAGAAGGTGATGCTGGCAAGATGTACTTGTGCCTGGGAGGAAGGCCAGAGAAGTCAGGGAGACAAAATCTAGGAGTGGCTTAGTCTTTTTTCTGCTGCTACCACAGACTACCTGAGACGGGATCATTTATATTGAACAGAAGTGCCTTTGTCTCGGGGCTTTGGAGGCTGAGAAGACAAGAGCGTGGTGCTGGCGTCTGGCAAGGACCCCTGTGCTGTTGCATCCCATGGTGGAAGGTGGAAGGGCAAGAGAGCATGCGAGTGAGCCAGCAAGCAAAGGCTGGGCTTTGCTTTCCTAACAAATCCACTCCCACTATTACAATATGAATCTGCCTATCCTCAGAGAATCTATAAAACGTGCAAAGGTGACTTGGTACCGCTACCCGGAAGGATGGATCAAGGTGTACATGTGTCCTACCTCTAAGCTGCAGCGTTAACTGGGTGGCTAACCAGCTGGGGGAAAGGCAATCACCCTTGTTGGGTAACTTTGCTTTCACACCACGCCTCCTCCTCTACAGAACAAGACTTCTTTCTTTGTTGTTGTTTTGTTAAGTTATCATCACACTGATTTAAAACAAATCCACAGAACTTAACATACTAATGACAGTTCCTCTGGACAGCTTGAAGACTGAGTTTGTTTGGGGCAGCTTTTAAACTCTGTCTTGAATTGACTGGTTGATGTACAATATAAAAGAATGATGAACGAGTTTCCCCATAAACTTTGGGGAGCAGGTGAAGGGGTATTTTCAAATTCCAATTTATTTTTAAAGTAACAAAAATGTAGACTCCAAAATAGTTTGGCCTTTTTGAGCAGTCAAATATATTGAAGGAGAATGATTTTTTTTTTAGCAATCCAATCAATGTTGGCACATTTTCCTTTTTCAGAATTATAATTACACTACCTGATTCTCATTTTCTTATTCACCCATAATTCTCATTTTAAAGTCAGCAGAAGGTGTGAGGGTAGGAGATTTGAGCTGAACGTGCTCCTCAGAGGGAGCTGCAGGGAGGAGATTTGGTGTTTGTTTGCCTGCAAGTCATCTTTCCAAATAACAACAGCTTAATGAGACTTACATATGTTATATAGTCTTTCCGGCTCATATTCGGTTTTTGTCAAGTAAAATGAACACATTCAGGATCTCTCTGTGCTCTGTTAACTCCATGCATGGTAATCAACATCAGACCTTGGAGATTTGTTGGAAGGAAAAATAAAAGCACTGTTGAGTAGATGAGATGCGCGTTCTTCAATGTGGATGAGCCTAAGGCAAACAAAGCCAGAGAAGTCAGCCCCAGTGGGCTACCATCTTTACAATGTGAGGCCCCAGCACTCAGCTTTTGCAACTTCTGACTGTATCATTCCTTAGCTTGTTCTCTAAGAGTCTATTAGAAATAGTCATATCACTAACTTCTGTTTTGAAAACTGTTTTGAAAACTCTCCCTGGAGGGAAAGTTCATTCCAGCTCCAGGAAGAGAGGAATAGGGATAATGATAATGACAGGAAGGAAGAGAAGACAAGAATGAACAGTAGAATCACAGAAGATTCTACTGTGATAACAAAATCCAGGGCGGCTGGGTAGAATCGGTACTACCTGCTGCCCTGCCATTACCCTCTTCACACCTGGCCCTGTAGAACTGAGTTCCCTTCCTTGTTCGATATTCAATCACCTCTGTGTGTCAGGTACCATTCTGAACACATTGTCCCATTTTATACTCCTTAAAGGGTTATATAAGTATAGTACTTATATCCCTATACCAGTATTATACTACACTGTATAAATATACTATAAAAGTATATTACACTTAGAGAATTTTAGTGGGTTAGTAGTAGCTTTGTATTACAGATGTAGAGAATTTTAGTGGGTTAGTAGTAGCTTTGTATTACAGATGTGGACCCTGATACTTCCTCTCCCCTGCCCCATGCCACCACAAAAGAAAGAAAGAAAGAAAGAAAGAAAGAAAGAAAGAAAGAAAGAAAGAAAGAAAGAAAGAAAGAAAGAAAGAAAGGAAGGAAGGAAGGAAGGAAGGAAGGAAGGAAGGAAGGAAGGAAGGAAGGAAGGAAGGAAGGAAGGAAGGAAGGAAGGAAGAAAGAAAGAAAGAAAGAAAGAAAGAAAGAAAAATGGAGTGGCAAACCCAAAGCAAATGGAACCATTATCTAGGTCTTAGGATCCCAAGTTTGGAGTTTTTCATTTTTTTTTCCTTTTTACAACTTATTTCTTTAAAACCATATTTAAATTTGTAATGATTCTATCACCTTTCATTAGAGCTTAAGAACGTTTGTTAACAATACCTTCCTGACCCATGTTTATTGATACTTTGGCCAAAATCAATGTTGGCCTCATTTGCTGAGATGAAAAAAAGTGCTTTGTAGGACATCAATCTTTCCTAAAACTTCTCCAGGATTTTCTGAATGTGTTCCTAAAAAATGTGCTTTTTCAATTTTCATAGTTTTGCCAATGAGCCATGGCTCTTAGGGCACCTGTCTGCATGTTTGCCTGGGGAATTCAGGGATGTGACCAAAGGCCTGAGGCGAGATTCTGAGGGGACTGTGGGCCTGTGGACCATCGAGGACTGGCCAACAGAACTTTCTGCAGTGGTAGAAGCAGTTTTTTCTTCCTTCCTCCCTCCTCTCCTCTCCTCTCCCCTCCCCTCCCCTCCCCTTTCCTCCCCTCCCCTCCCCTCCCCTCCCCTCCCTTTCCTTCCTTCCTTCCTTCCTTCCTTCCTTCCTTCCTTCCTTCCTTCCTTCCTTCCTTCCTTTGTAAGATTTATTTATTTGAAAGGCAGAGTTACAGAGAAGCAGAGACAGAGGGAGAGAAAGAAGTCTTCAATCTACTGGTTCACTCCCCAGATGGCCACAATGGGTGCAGCGGGGATTCTTCAAAGAAATGAGTCTCGGGGGTCTCGCCGTTGTGTATTAGGTTCAAAGTCTCCCCGCAGCGGCGGCATACCCTATGGGCACCAGGTTCTAGTGCTGGCTGCTCCTCTTTCAGTCCAACTTTTTGCTGTGGCCCGGGAAGGCAGTGGAGGATGGCCCAAGTGCTTGAGCCCTGCACCTGTGTGGGAGACCAGGAGGAAGCACCTGGCTCCTGGCTTTGGATCAGCACTGCGCCGTCCATAGTGGCCATTTGGGGAGTGAACCAATGGAGGGAAGACCTTTATCTCTCTCTCACTGTCTAACTCTGCCTGTCAAATAATAATAATAATAATAATAATAATAATAATAATAAAAAAAAAAGCCAGGAGTCTCTTCCAGGTCTCCCACATGGGTTCAGGGGCCCAAGGACTTGGGCCATCCTCCACTGCCTTCCCGGGCCACAGCAGAGAGTTGGATCAGAAGTAGAGCAGCCAACACTCGAACCAGCGGCCATCTGGGATGCCAACACGCAGGTGGAGGCTTTAGGCGCTACACCACAGTGCCGGACCCCCACAGAGCATTCTATACCAATGCTCATGCAGCGGCCACTAGCCTGGAAACTGATGGTTACAAAGAAATTTTAATTTCTACTTTTATTTAATTGTTATTAATTTGACTGAAATAGACACTTGTGGTTAGCGACCACCAGGTTACACAGCACAAACCTGGTCCTTGGATATAGGGAAGAAGAGGCTCACACAAGAATTGCTGCTCTGTGATGCCCAGGGAGGGAGTCTCAGCGGCCAGAAACCCGTTATGTTTCATGTCAGTGAAAGGAAAGGGCTCTGGCGCTGGTGCTGAGGTGCAGCAGGTTCAGCCATCTCCTGCAGCGCCAGCATCCCATATGGCACCAGTTCATGTTCTGGCTGCTCCACTTCCAATCCAGCTCCCTGCCAAAGTGCCTGGGAAGGCAGTGGAAATGGCCCAAGTGGGAGACCCAGATAGAGTTCCAGGCTTCTGGCGTCAGCTTGGACCAGCCCTGGGCATTGTGGCCATTTGGAGAGTGAATCAGTATATGGAAGACTGATGGCTCTCTCTCTCTGTCTCTCTCTCGCTCTCTGTCTCTCTCTCGCTCTCTCTCTCATTCTGCCTTTCAAATAAATAAAGTCTGAAAAAAAAAAAAAAGCTTAATAAGGGAAAGGACTGTTTCCCCAAAGGCCATACCACAGTGCTCTACAAAGTTGATGGAAAAATGAAATTAGGGTAAGTTTATTTTGGCATGAACGAATTAAATCCAAGGATAGCTTTTTTCATATTGCACATTTTCCATGAATTTTTTGGAGAGCCCTCTATTCATGTCAGTGTTTCTGTGCTCTGTTAAGGACTCAGTTTCTAGCCTCCTTTCCTCTCGGGGAGATGTGATGTAGGCGTCTCCCAGAAGCTGTGTTATTCTGGTACATTCTGGCCACATAGGCCACCTGTGACTGTCTTTAGGGTTAAGGGAATTCAGCAGGAGGATTTGGGGTAACTCAGAGATCTGAGGCAATCCTTGAGGAGCCTGGGCCTTACAAAGGGGCCTAAAGGGTTGGAACTAAGAGGGTTGATCTTCTCCAGAGCTCCCCTGCCCCTGGCCTCGGTCCCAAGCCCTGGGCAAGCCTGGCCCAGCTTGCATCGCTGCTGTCATCTTGGTCAAACGATGGCAAAGGACTTTCCTGGACTGCTTTGCTCAGCTTGCCTGCAAAGGAGAGAGAACAAACAGGAATAGAAGATGGGCAGAAAAATAGCAAACCCCACGGCTCTTCAAAAAGGTCGTGGAGGGCAAGCATTTGGTGTAGTAGTCAAGACACCGCTTGTGTCGCTTGTATCTCGTATTGGAATGCCTGGGTTTGAGTCCCGGCTCCATTCCTGATTCCAGCTTCCTGCCAGTGTGCACCCTGGA